ACAGCACCCGCCACTTGATAAAATCACTTCTGTTCTAAGCATATTTGAGTTTATTATGTGGCTGATTTTGATACATGCTGATTTCAGTATTTATTTAAATTTAATAAGATAGTAATTTACAGTTAATAATTAATATGTAAACTACTAAAAAGTAATGCTAAAATTAACTATTCACAAAACTTGGAAATTATTATTTTTTTTAAATAAAAGAACTTTAGAATTGCATACTTGATGAAATTTTTAACTTTTAAAAAGAACTGCTCTATCCATATTTGCTTTGCACATATAGTCAACAGTCTTTCAAATGTATTTTCAAATTCGTAAAACTGTCGGCTTCTTTTCTGATGCTTTTTAATTCAAAAATTCTCAGAAATTTGCAGCACTTTTCTTGATTCAGCTGTGATTGGCATGAAATCATTTTCTTACGTATCATTTCAGTTTCAGCAGCAATTTCTATAACATAGTAGTCAGTGTTTTTACACGTTGTTTCAATATTATCATCAGTTGCAAAATATTCTAAAAATTAATCTTTGTACTGAAACATTAGAAATAATTTGCAATTCCTCTGTGGCTTCTTCTAAATAAAAAACATGTCTTCTAAAGCAATTTCTAACTGTGTTTAGGGAGATTGCTTCTCATGCGTTGAGTATAATATGCATATAAAGATATCGACTTAACTATCTCTTTCATAGTGCTTTCATTTGCACAAGAATTAATTTTATTACCTTTTTTTTAATGATATCAGAAAGGTGTGCAGTATAGTTTCAGAGTACGCCTTCACCCCCAGTTCTCTGCCCATTCCAAAAGGAAATCAGTAAAAACACTGCTTGTTATCCATGAGTCTTATTATTATTGTAAGTTAAAGGTAATTTTTTTACTTTTTTTAAGCATTGAGGTTTTTTACTCTTTTCAATATCTATTTTATTGTTGCATCCACATTGCACATTTATAACACAGTAACTCGCTCTTTTAATTTCTTAAAACCAGCCACTGTTTCACATTTAAGCATTAATGTGTGCTCTGGTAACGCTCTGTAAAACAGGCTTTTCATCTGTATTGTAAATTTTTGTGTGGCTTGTATTCTTTTAGAAGCCCGGGTAAAACATTTTTTTTTTTTTTTTTTTCCATTTGTCAGCCAAACTATGATATGTGCCTGGTTCTCACCATGTAGTTTCTGATAAACAATATTATTCCTCTCTTTCCATCTTGCGAGCCATCAGTCGGCCCAAAATTTTCCCCTAGCATTAGTGAATTTTACAACTTTTGTGATCAAAATAGCTCTAGAATCTACTGGAACATTTTTTAGCTTCATAGCTTAAAACCATTCCAGAACAGCGGTTTCAGCATCTCTTGATTTTCCATCCCTTTTGCACTTCCTTGAGACATTTCCATTTCTTACTACAGTGGAACCTCTATATACAAGTATGAGCACAAAAATTGTGTCTAAATACAAGCACTGACTTGAGTAACGAGCAATGAGCCAGGCTGTTGGTATGCCTGGCACCATTTCCCGATCTGGCTTGACTCGGGGAATCCCCACGTCAGATCACTCAGTGTTCTTTGATCTACATGTTTGTGTGCTTACAAGTTAATTGTTTATTACCTTTAACGTGAAAATAATTATTTCACAATGCCTGTTGTTGTTGTTGCCTCTTGCCTCAAATAGTGCTACAAAGAAAAATAGGGAAGCCATGGCCATTGAAATTAAGAATGAAACCACAGATAAACATAAGAGTGATGGAATTGGTGAAGACTTAATGGCCTTTCAACATCAAGGAAATGTACTGTTCTGAAGGAAAAGGAAAAAATTAAGAAACTTATGTAGCCAAAGGAGTTACCATTACTTCCAAGCACCGTCCCGAATTCCTAGAAGCTGTTGCTGGTGAGGATTAACGAGAAGTAGTTTAAAAGGTCACTGTCGGAAGCTATCATAAAGGTGAACTAAGGTTATATTATTTATCAGTGTTATTTATTTGAAAAATTGATTTTTATGTTGATATTTTTGAGGTGCAGAACGGATTAACTGGATTTCCATTATTTTCAATGTGGAAGTTTATTTCTAGATACGAGAAATTTGCTATACGAACTCAAATGCTGGAACGAATTAAACTTGTATCTCGAGGTTTCACTGTCGTTCTTTGTCGATTTTTTTTCTTTATTTAAGTAAACTTCACAATGCTGTTTGCAAAATCTCCATTTTAAAAACTGCTTCTTTTTGGCTGCATTTGTCAAACATACGATAATCTTTCAGAAATTTATCCTTTCCTTTCGGGCTTAAATCATTTTTGACATGTTACAAGTCAAGCACACAGAAAATGAAAAATGTTTCTTCCAGTGATTTTTTTCAAATCCAAATTCCTGTTTCTTGTTAGCAGGAAAATTGCACCATTTCTGTCAAGTTAACCTGTCACTTCATAGTTTTTATTGTTCCTTTTTCTTTCTTTCTTCAGCCTACAACTACCACTCCCCTTTTCCAACCAACGACTGATGATGTATGATTATGCAAGGAAGTATTTCATGATGTTTTCTGAGAACGCCCTTCAAACTTAATATGAGCATGCACGTCCATCCCCAATAAGCTGGTGGGTGCAGGGGCATAGCTAGAGGGGGGCAAGGGTGTGGCATCTGTCCCCGGCCGCAGAATCCAAGGGGCGGCAAACTGATGTTACATTTTAGAATTAAATGTTTTCTATCCGTAGGGGGCACGAAATCTTCAGTTGTCCCTGGGCGCTGAAAACCCTAGCTACGACTCTGGTGTGGTGTTTGAGATTGGGAACCAGCGTTCACTTAAGCACTTCACTTTGGGAGATATTCTTTAACCCTGGGAAACATTCATTTATATTCAAAGAACTAGTTTCCAATGTCTCAAGAAGAACTTCTTTTGTTAATTATAAGATAAAGGTATTCTGTCATTCTCAGCTCTAGTATGGACACAGAGATTTGCAAACAGTATCCGACAAGAACTAAGATGTACTCAACACCATAGAAGGTCTTGGTTCTGCCAAACCAAACAAAATTTCTGTTAAACCTCTTTTATTGAAGCACTACATAATTGAAAGATAAATGAATGAACTACAAACAGCTTTTATCAGCCTCAAACAGTTTATTCTAGATCTGAATAACCACACTTTGGCAGTTTCAGTTTTATAAGTGGGGGAGATGACTTTAACCTTTCTGGGACGGGATGGCTATTATACTGACCTTGGTACTCCCTGTTTGAAAGTACGGGGATGTTCACTTTACAGGTCATGTCTTTTTCTCCCATTTTCCAAGCTGAAAGTGTGGGATGAAATTTCAAGTTTGATATTTTTGGAGTTTTAACCACCTATCCCTTTCAAAGGTCTTCGTGTTAAGGATCCGATTTTTCCTAACATTCCCTTTTCATTCTTGCTGCTTCAAAGTTTGAAGATAACCTCATCTGTAAATCGTAAACAGAGCCTTGTGTTTCTTTGAAATATTCCATATCTTTTGGGAGATTACTTGGAACTTATTTGCTTAATTTTATAGCAATATGCTGAAATGGAAAGCAGGTTGATTGAAGAATAAATATAAAAGCTTCTACAGGAGTCTGTAAAATGTTAAATTACATAACATCATAATATTAGGTATTGAAGATAGCAACTATCTTGTAACTTCTTCCCATTTTTTTCAAGAACTATAATCATCACAAGATTTTCCTAATTCAAAATTATTCTGCTATAAAAAATTTGCAATGCAAAATATACAAACAATGTACAATACAAGCTATATTTGAACTTAACGCTGCACATTTTAAATTCTTGTCAGCTTTTGCTCTTAAGCATTACAGTTTCACATAAATTTTTAACATTTATTTAGACTTAAATTTTTAACTTTTCTACAATTTAAATTTTAACATTTCCATACAGTTCAAGTATTTAATTATTTAAAGAGTGTTAATTTCTTATTTTTTTAAACATTCCTTCCATGGAAAAAAATTTAAAGCATGGATAATTTCAATAAGCTATACAGCAAGGCATATTAAACATTAAAGTAAATAATGTTTCTGTTTACTACAACATTTGCATGATGTTTCTTCATTTATGAAATCATGAATTTATGAAGATAAGTTCATGAAATCTATGAAAAAAATTTTAGGTGCATTAAAAAACTAGATGGAGACTTCATAAAAAAAAAGATCTATAAAATAACATAAATGGAAGAATTTTATGATATAACTTTAAAATATAATAGAATTAATCTTTGTTACCACTTTATAAAGACACTTAATTTGATAAGGTAAACTAAAATCATTGCTAAAATCTCAGACATTTTTTTTAAATCTTCTAAAAGTTTATGGAGAAAAAGAATGACATTTTCTACAATGAAATATAAACTCTATCCCAAGTATTTCTCAGTAATCTGACCTAGAATCAACTGCACCTGTAAATTTTCCTCCATAAAGAAAATGATGTGGCAGTTAAGGCAATAATCCCTACATTTATTTCCCTTCCTTTTACAAAGTAAATTCATCTCTTTAAGGATGAATCAAACTATATAAAACAGCTACTGTTGGAAAAAAAAAGGGGGGGGACTTCTTGAAAGGGGAAAGTATAAAGTATGAAAACCCCCTTCTTTTTAAGGATCTACAGGCATCATATCTCTAACTTGAAAAGGCTAATAAACGGCAGTTTTCTGCTGATTAGTATAGATTTGTTTTGGTTCCTAGAAATTTAAGCCCAATAAGCAGCTGAGTTTATGAACCAGTGAATTTAATTAGCAGCATATACGCTGCATATATACACGTCTTCTGTATTATAATTTAGTATCTATCATGCATGTCAGAACAAGATGTATATGCATGCATATATATCTTCTATGCCATAAATAACACGAAAGTCAGAACTTACAAAAGTATTTTTTCATAAAGAAAAACTATTTATAAGGAAATAACATAATCATACAAATATTAAAGAACAATTCAAATACTTTAGTCTTCTTTTGTAAATTTTCAATATGCTTCAAAAAATAAAATACATTACCTCAACAAAAGATATGGGGAATATTCCAATCCTATCACGTAACTTCCCTTCTGCCCAATGATCATCAATTCTTCGAATAACTGTTAAGATATCACCCTGTGAAAGAATATTTAAAAACTTTCAATACCTAGACATGAATCTTCAACAAAAATACATTATGTTCATAATTAAAGACATCAGAAAATAAGAGATACTTCTTGGGCATTTATTATTAATTTATTTCAGATTAAAAATATGATAAGTAGTAATTTATTTTTTACCGTAACTCAAGATAAAACAAATTTGTTTAAACATACGCAAAAATTCATGCACATCATTTGCTACAAATTTTAATAAAAGCACTTTATTCTATTCTTCTTAGAGATTAATGTTAACAATAACTTGGATGCACTAAAAGTACACAACTACTATCATAAATTTCCCATAACCATACACAGAAACAAACAATTTACAAAGTATGTTTGACTATCTAATGATATTTTTAAGTCACATTAAGGGGCAGTACCTTTATTACATAACTAGCACAAATTATTTCAGCCTTCTATTACATTAACAACCTGCAATATTCTCAGAGAGAAAAAAAATACTTTTAAAATTTACATTTTGTTATTACTGATTTTTAAATCTAGATTTTTGTAATTATATAATCTAGACTTAAAAATACTGTTTAACTGTGCTGTACTGTAATGTTTAATTCAGTAGGAAACAATATATTTCTAATATTTTCATACATACCCTCTTAAAACCTTTTAAAATTGAAATGGATTAATAAATACAGACATTAATTAATTCAAATGTTATATAAAAACAAAATTATCAAAAAAGGAAAAAGAAAATCTGAAATGTTTTAGATTTTAAATTATGTCCAAAGGGGCATTTTTTTACCATTTTGTGTGTTACATTTATTTATTAAATATCACGTTCTTCGCATTTAAACCATAAAATTTAGTTCAACAGCAATATCGCAAAATGGTTTTAAAATGAGCATATCTTTAGAATTTTTGATACAGTGACTCATGTGCTAGAGACAAAAATGTCTTTCCTGTACAACGTTGCCATTGTTCGCTTTGAAATCTTTTGAGTTTGTTAATCAAAAATTTATTAAAGTTTTACAAAATAGGAAATCAATATTAAAACAATTTCCAAATTTGAAATTTGGTCTTCCACATACCCATATTTGAGTGGAAGACTATGTTATTCTAAATTCGATGGCTCTATGAACCCATTGTTTTATCACAATGCGAGAAATATACATACATTTATGCAGATTTTTCATTATTTAATTTCTTTAAATATAACACAGAGCGATACTTTGTAGCAACAGTTTGAAAAGTGATTTGCCATTTGTAGTGAATCGACGCAAAACGAAGACAATAGGTTTTTAGGGACAAAGCCCCTTTGGACTAATGATAAAAAAAAATCCTATTACATTACAATTATATAACAGAAGTCATACCTTTCCAAATGTAAGACAATCCTTTTCTTCGCTGCTACTTATCTGAAAATCATACAAAGCTTTGCATTGTGGCACATGTGTAGGAATTGGTACAACAACTTGTACAAAACTGGCAGGAACAAAGCCTGATTTGCCTCCAAGTTCACCATAAAACCAGTTTTGATCCACTTTCTTCCGAAGAATTATTACATCGCCTTTTTTGAATGAGAGATCACTTAAAAGTAAATACAACATGGTTAGACATTAAAACAAACATGAAGAAACAAAATTAGATTATATACACACATGAACATAAATCACATGCATGACAACACATGAACATAAATCACATGCATGACATGTTAAGGAAATTGCCTTCAGGTCTAAAATAGCACTAATTTGATCTTTTCATATTAATACTTCAAATACAACATAGATAACATTTTAAATACATATTTCATTACACTGTCTGGCCCCATTTAAAATACAGTACAAAGCTTAAATCCAGATATTCAATACTTCAAAGTTTCAGGATGCTGAATATAATCTCTAGACAAAGCAGGTATGTTGTGAAAGCCTTTTCTACCAAGGGACTGAGATTCAGGTATATCATTTTCAAACACCTGCTGGCTAGAGATTTATATCATGGACAATGAATGACAAGATATTAATTGGCACTAGCTATGCCCAAACTTTCAGCCTTAAGTTCTTATGTGTGTGTCTGTGGGGGGGGGTAGGCCTTTTCTATCTGACCTAAATAAGTGAAACCTCAAGACACGTTTGGTATGTGATGATGCTAATATTTTTTTTAATTAATTAATTAATTAATTTTATTTATTTATTTATTTATTTATTTTTTGTTGGCACAGCAGCAAGGGGGTGGGGGAATTAGACTTTGAGGAAATTAAGTTTAATTAACATGCCAAATTCCACTTTTTCTTAACTTATTAATTCGATCCAGCTTATTATTTTCTGCAGACTGTTATTATTATAGCTATTTTTATCAAACTAAATTTTGAATTTTTGATTATGTTGAAAAGAGTTTCTAATTTTGGAGCTGCAGTAGGACCTGCAAAAGGAAAGCACGTTTTGATAGCAATCAAGCAAAACTGGGATTGTTGCCAAAAACAGATAAAGTCATATTCGGTGAGGAATATGGCATTAAAAAGTTAACAGTATACAACATTTATGTGGTGGTGGTGGGGGGAACAAGAATGGACTTTGTCACTCTACTTGCAATGAATGACAGAAAAATCCTTCATTATTGATGACTGTGTGTGGGAAAACAGCATCATAACCAGGGCATGCCATTGATAGAACAGTTAATGGCTCTAATCAAAATATTTCATGAGGAAATCAACTTAAAAAAACTGAGTATACATATTCAATAAATTGGTTAACCTAATTTAAAAATCACCATAGTACAAGACAGTAAAAAATATCAAGCAAAAAAGCTTTAACTGATAATGATGAAGCTGAACAATCTGAAGTTAAATTTATTGAACTTGTTAATGTCTTAATGCTCCAATAAAACTTCAGAAAGTGATTTCTTCCTCCACCAATTTTTCTATACTTTATTTTAATGCAACCTTTTATTTAATAATTTATTCATTTTTTTATATTTTTGGCTCAAAATAATAGTGGATATATCCTGTTGTGTTCATATCTGAAAAATTTCTTGACTATATTTTACCTGTGTGTGTAGAAATAATTTAACTCGGCTGAGTGCATTAAGAAGTAAACATCAAAAAGTTATCTTCAGAAAAAATTTATTGCACTGATGATGCTCATCTTTCCTGGCAATACCTGTCCCAAAATACTCAGTTGACGTCTGCAGAAAAGGCTCCAGCTGATATCGGAGATCCCAAAGAAAAACTGATGATTCTGTAATGTGCAAATACTGCAAGAATGCATAACTCTAAACATTTTGTAATCAGACAGACAAACCTCAAGCATTTAAACAAGCAAAGATTTTACCAGTTATCTAGTATTCAAGTGAAAAAGAATGGCATAGAAAAAGCAAAACATAAAACATTAACCTTCTAGCAGGCGCGCGTATGTGTGAGATACACTAGATATTAATTTTGCATTTGCTTCATAGCCAGAAGGCGCTATGACCACATATCCTTGGCTATTCTCTCCCTTTTTGTTCGCCCTTCTTTCAGTCTTCTGGTGCATTTCGAGGGGTTAATATGAGTCTGCAGATTTAATATTTGTATTCCAGAAATACACGCGACCATTGAAGTAAGTTTTTGTTAGATCTAATTTTCTTTTTTATTATAGAAAATCTTTATTCTTTTTCATCTAAATCTTATGATTTTATATAATTTGTATGCATAATTACTTTTAATGATAAAATAGAAGCACTGTATACGTCACATACGCACAACCATGTATGATATTTTTGTTCTTTTCTTTTCAGTTATGGCGAATAAAAGGTAAAATGCTCGACATGAATGATCCAAAGGATCTCACGATTATAAGAAATATGCTTTTATGTGACAGTGATGATGATGAAGACATTATTTTAGATGAAAGCATTACAGATGAAGAATTTCAGAAAGAGAAGGTGATTCAGAATTGGAGATAAGTACAGAGAGCATTTCTGAAGAGGAAAATAATGATGATAATTCTTACGAAGTGTATGTAGCTCATCAAATGAAAAACAGAAAAGTCATCGATTCTTGGACATGGTTTAAGAAAACTAAACGAGCACCTCGTAACATATGTGTTCATGTCCCTGGAGTCATCAATGAAGCTAAATATCTAAGAGATATTTTGGATATATGGAAATGCCTCTTTACTGATAGTATGATAGAAATCATCGCTAAAAATAAAAATAAGTTTATTTCTTCTGTGAGGTCTAATTATTCTCATATAAGGGACAGCAAAGACACAGATGGAGCAGAAATAAAAGCTCTTTTGGGCTTACTTTACTTAGCTGGTATTTATCCTGGTAACAGAGTTAATCTTGAGGAACTGTGGAGAACGGATGATTTTAAAGTAGTAATGAACTTGAAGAGTTGTTTTTACTAAGAGCTTTACGGCTTGATGACATAAACACAAAAGTAGAATAAAGAGGAGTCGACCGCTTGGCTCCAACAAGAAACATTTTTGAAAAGTTTGTCTCTAATTGCCAGAAGTGCTATTCACTTGGAGAGAATGTCACAATCGATGAGAAATTGGAAGGATTTCGAGGAAGATGTGGTTTCATTCAATATATTCCTAAAAAACTGAACAAATATGGCATAAAAATTTATGCCATGGTAGACGCTTGTATGTTTTACACATACAATATGGAAATTTATGCTGGAGCGCAGATGGTCCTTTTCGCGCAAGCAACAAACCACAAGATGTTGTAAAAAGGTTGACAGAACCTATTCATAAACACTGGAAGAAATGTAACTACAGACAAATGGTTTTCAAGTCTTGAGTTAGTATGAGATCTAGATGAAAAAAAATTGGGACAACAGAGACAAAAAATTTATCAAAAATTCATTTGTAGGTACTTTGAAAAATAAAATAAAATAAAATAAACCTCAAATTCCGGATCAGTTCAAGTTGACGAAAACTCGGGAACCCAATACGAATCCTTTTGGATTTAGAAAAAATATGACACTTCTCTCCTATGTACGAAAACGTTATGGAAACATCATATTGATTTCAAGTCTTCATGATAACATAGCAATAGATGAAGGTACCCAGGACCAAAAAAACGCCTGAGATTATCACATTTTACAATCGTACCAAAGGAGGTCTGGATACAGTGGACAAACTCTGTGCTTCCTACAATGTTGCTAGGAACACCAGGTGTTGGCCTCTTGTAGTTTTTTTCTCTATGCTGAATATAGCAGCAATCAACAGTCACATAATTCATTCAACGAGTAAAAGTGAAAAATTACTTAGAAGGCAATATCTACGAAAGCTAGCAAATGCTCTTATGAAGGAAAACGTTGAAAGAAGAAGCCCTACCTCTCTTCAAAGAGAGCTGAAATTAAAATTGTTGAAACGAAAAGCAGAATTAGGTGTAGTTGAAGAAATGACTTCAGGGAAAAAAGGATGCAAACCCTGCAAAATGACAAGTGCACTAGAATTACGAGGTTCACCTGTGAGATTTGTTTAAAATTCATTTGTCTAGAGCACTGTAAACATATTTGTTCAGACTGCAGCAATGCAATGAAGTGATTATGAAACTGATTTTTTTATGTAATATTTAATGTGTTTTTCCACTTACTGATTGAAAATATAAAAGTTCAGTTGAAATATTGGCAGTTTAATTTTGTTTTACTTTCAAGTTAGTTTAGTAAGTCTTTAGTCCTTTTTATATTGTTTTAGTGTTTTATAGTTATTTTATTTTCCTTAATTTAAAGTTAATGTTGTTTAACTCAATTGTACTTATTAACATTTAACTATTTACAAAATAATTTTAATATTTTTGCTCTGGAAAATTTATTTTTTATAGCAGTGTATGTAGGAAATACACGCAACCTTTCTTGTTTGTGCAGAAGGCACGCCTGCTGGAAGGTTAATGAATGATTAATACGAAAATCATTTCATATCCGAGGCTTGGCAACATTTGAAATCGGCTAATATATCAGATGATGTAATAATTATCCTGCTCACAGACAACAGTTCAGCTCATTCTTCACTTTTATTTTTCGAGTTTTAGTATGTAGTAAAAGATAATTTGACACTCTTATTCTTTTCTCCAGATTGTACATCTATCATTCAGTTAATGGATATCTAAGTGTTATGCATGCTCAAATGCAGATATAAAGTAGCCTTTTTAAAATCTATGTTGAATTTTATGAATAGTGAGTGATAAGACGATTCAAGAAAATTTTAAATGTTTTAAAATTATTGTTGAAGCAATACAAAGTCACAGGAAAATGCATCTGCAGAGATTTTTTAAAATGCTTGGCATAATTTATGGCCACCTACCATATTTCATAGTGATGATGATGATAGACGTGAATTTGTACATTTCAAAAGGCAAAATTTTCCATTTAATAGAATCAGAGAAGAAATGTGGAAAAGGGATAATAAACAAAGATGATATAACAGAAGTATTCCATTGTAATGACAATACTTCAGCCATGAATGCATGGATGGCAAAAGCTGTGGTATGATTTTAAATCCAGAAAATACTGATACCAATAGTCAAACAAATGTCAAAAAGGCTGTTGAACATAAAAATATTTCAAATGACAGTTTAGTGAAAATTCTCAACACAACAATTACAAGACTTGAATAATTGAACTTTTAACTGAAGAAAAAATTACGTGTATGCATAAAATTGGACAAAAAAATATTAGCACAAAAAATGAAACAGCATAAAGAACCTATACTGTAAAACGTTTTTAACAGAATAAATAAACAAAGTACAGAACAAATAAAGACTGAGTTTCTTTTTTTAATTTTAATTCCCTTAAGATCAGAAATGCTTCATTATTTCATATTTTTAATTTTGACATGTTACCTTGCTAGATTTAAACTGATGATCTAAAATTCTGCAAATACTGAAATCAGAAATTGTCGAAGTACAAATGATTCCGTATCTCAGACTATTCAGATATTGCATATGCACAGCTAAAATCCATTTAAATGACTTCATGAAGTAAAAAAGTATATAATTTAGACAACATTTCCAAAATAATGACTCTCATCTTAAAATCTTCATGAAAGAGATCTTAAATGAAATTTGTTAAGTTGCATAAGATTTTTTGTCTAATTGCAGTGGAAATCTCAGTATAAAAATACGAAAGATTATAACTTTGTAAAGTGTTTCTGTATAATACTGTGAACTAAAAAATATAGAATTATTCCCCCATTAGAAATAACATTTTTTCTCATTAAAACACCACCTAAAAAAACACAAAAATAAGTCACCATTAAGTGATGCTGGAACTAATATCAAAGCCTTTCTCAGGTGTAGTTATTAACACAAAAGTAGTTTATTTTTTAATTAATTTTAATAAACTTAATTGGACTAAACTGATTTTTAATAAATATGATAGAAATGTTGAAAATGTAATGCATTAGAGCAAAGATTCTATCCTCAGTTCATAAAATGTTAATAATCAGTTGCCAATATCACTTTACTAAAAGGTTTTTATTAGTACAACAATAGTTTAATGCTTACCCAGGTACTTTGGCTTCATATGGATAAAGTGCTTTTGCACATGGGCAAGCTTGAAGTACCTGAAAACAATTAAATATATGATATATTTAAATCCATGATTAATCTACATTAAAAATTAAATTCACAATCAAGTTAAAAATCACATATATGAATATACATATATACATCAAAAATAAATTTTGTGTTTGGAAACACGCTCAGATGTTGCTTATTTCTAAGGAAATGAGTCAAGGGATGAAAGGGTCAAGGATCCCGATAAAGGAAATGCTGTTAATGTTGTTCAACTCAGTAATAAAATCAGTGATGATTTCCCTCTAACTTGTTACACTGATTGCAAAGTTTGTTTAGCATTTGTTGTCTTCAAAAATGGTCTTGAATTTCAGCCCTTTCAATTTAGAATTCAAGATGAATGTTCGGGAGGCGCCCAGACGATATAGTGGTTCGAATTCTGGAGGAGGCATGGTTGTGGCAGTCCATCCCTTCATAGGAGGCAATGGTGGTCCACCTATTAGGTGTCTCCATAATAAAGAGACCACCACATCTGGCCTTAGTATAGATTAATGGACTCTGTTATATAACTGTAACTGTTCACAATCTGCCATTGAAAAAAAAAAAAAAAAAAAAGATGAATGTTCGGTTTTTATAGGACTTTTGTGTTTAAACTTCACCATCAAATGGATCTCTAAACAAAATAGTGCTGTTTCAGACTATGCCATTTGTACTGATTCCCTTTCATCCCGGAGACCCTAAAATGTATTTCTTAAAAACATTTTGGTTTCTTTTGCATTTGTTTATGGACATACGGATGTTGTTGGGAACAAAAGGGACAATTTTTTGGCAAAGATTACCACCAAGGGCAAAATTGATATTCTTGTCTATAGCCCTAAATCTTTTTATAAGAAGGTCATTAATAATATTAATAATATTATTAATTAATTAATAATATTGTGGAGTTGTGTTATCAAGAATGCATTTGTTCAAAGAAGAGATGTTTTCCTTACATTAAAATGAGGTTATTACTTAATCATTTTTTTACTAATTATAAAATTACCTAATTCATCACTGGCCACGGAATCTTTAAAAGTTGTCTGAGCAGATTTAAGTTGAGCCCAGAGATATTTTGTGATTGCAATGTCGGTAGTGAGGAAAATTTTCAGCATCTGCTTCTTCTATATTCTAAATATGACAATGAAAGAAAGACCTTGAAACTGGCGCTGAAAATATTAATATTAACTGGCCTCCAGATTTTCATCAATTTATATCCAAAAGAAAGTCATTTGACTATTTTTTTCAATTTACAGTAAATTTTTGTAATCTTTCATAATATTGTTTTAAATCTTTCCTTTACTGTTTATTTCTGTGTTGCATTTCATACTTACATCTGTAAGCCCCATGGTATACTTTGTGGTACATGAGGAATTCTTTTTTTTTTTTTTAAATAAAAACAGAGAGAGTTATTTACTATAATTTATTATATTAAACACCTTATATTTTAAAAGACATATATAACTAAAATTTTGTATGAGGAGAAAAGACATATGGTATTCATTGTGTTGTGGCTGCAGATTATTCAGAATTTATTTTAAATACTACATTTAACAGTAAACAAGTCAAGGAGCTATAATATAACCAATTTTTAATCCAAATCTTGATTTGTATCTATACTGCGCCTGCGCAATACACTAGATTAAAAACGAATTTCTGTTTTTTAGCTACCTACATTAGAAGGTGTTAAAAGGAGTTCCTCATATAATCACAATAGTTATCAAACTGAAGTATAATTGAAATCTCATTGTAATCCATCTTAAGAAATTTTATAGTGTCTGTATCTTGACTGTTTGAGTTTGACAGCTATTTGAGTGGTTACATGTATAAGTATATAAACATATATACTTATATCACTTCTTCTCTACAGGTTAATTTATGCCTTAAGGTTGATAATATTCTTGCTCTGAATACTATTCCCATTAAAAATGTCATAGTATGTAACATATGAATATAATTTGCATGCAGTTTCATTAAAGAGTGAAACAATAAGATATATGAAACCTCTTTTTATGACCTAGAAAACTATACATTTCACACTATATACATTAATCAGTTATGGCACTTTTAAAAGAGGGGGAACTTGTGAATACTGCCTGTTGAGAACACAATAAAAAAAATTTCACATAAAAAATTGGACAAAATATTTTTTAAAAACATTCAGTAACAAGCAATTTCTTGGAGAAGTTAGACAGTTTCTACCATTAACATTTATTTATATGCCCCCCACATGCAACTTACATCTTTCTTGCGAGAATGTTTTCATATACTAATACAAAATAAATTCCAAAAGCTTTTACAGTATATTCAAGAATAAAAAACATGCTGAAAATTATTATATCCCCATTCACTTAAATTAAAAAAATAGTAGCAAAATTTATACGAAAATTCAGGCATATACGAAACCAAATCTTAAAAAGTTCTAAGATAAAAAAATATATATAATTTTAAAATATTTTCACCTGTTTTGGCACCATTCTTAAGTCTGTTGCACTTGGAGTTCGAGGCAAATTCCCTAAAGGCTGTGGTAATTGTGGATGTGGAGGGGTTTGTTGCTGTCCTGAAGATGACTCTGCACTTCGTGGGGCAACATCTGAACTACTACCAACTCTCTTAGGGCGCACATTATTTTTTATGCCTTCTAAGAGTCGAACTAATAAAATATTACAAGGTAGTTCCTCAATTTTTGCATCTACTAAAATTCTGCATTCTGGGCATCGCAGCTCTTTGTGCGAATTCAGAATCTCATGGAGACATCGCTTGCAAAAAGTATGTTGACACGGTAGCACTTTACTATTGCAGTCCAGTTGTTCCAGGCACACGGAGCATTCAAGAAGATCATTAAGAAATGCTTCATCCATTGTGAAGCATTTAACACTTTTATCACATTTTTCAGTATCTTTACCAAGTTCAACCATGGTACAAGAGTTAGTATTCATCCTAAAGAAGAAAATAAAACTACATATAAATCAATAATACAGTTCCAAGAGGCACAAACACTTTTCCATTCATATTTAAAATTTTTATAATACAGTAAGACCCCGCTTAACGCTGTTTCGTTTAGCGCTGTTTCGGTTTAGCGCTCTTTTATTTCAACCCGGGGATTCTCCGAAATTGTGCGCAGCGCTAGGTTTCCAAATAACATATCCGAAACAGTGTAGTTGTGTTTCTTGCTTGGTGGATGCATTTTTATCATTTGAAACATTTACTGACATTATTGTAAGTTTAAATTTGTATAATACTATAACGATTAATACAGTGACAAATATTATGATCTTTAGTTTTTATCATGGGTGATAATAAAAAACAAGAAAAGAAAGCAACCAGAAAAAAGCATTTCACTGGAAACTCAAATGCAAGTGATTAGAAGATCAGATTCTGGTGAACGTCAATCTCAAATTAATGCTGCATTGATTTTGGCAACTTCAACAATAAGGACAATTCTTAAGAATAAAGAAAAAATACTGTCATCGGCAACTGCAACTATGTCAAGCACTGCAACTAGAATTATCCGTTCTAGAAATAACACAGAGGAAATGGAAAAACGACTGTCTATATGGATTGACGATGAAATTGAACGCAATATGCCATTAAGCCAATCTATCATAATGCCTTCTTAACAAAAAGGCAGAAAATTGGAAACCCAGAATAGACTGAATGATCTGACTGAGAATTTTTATTTGTTTTTTAAAATAAAAGTATATGCGTTTATATTGTTTTTATTTTTGTAAGAAATAAATTTTGATTTTATTTTTATTAAAAAAAACATTATTAAATTTAATGCCTAACCATTTTTTATCCATCTTCCCATAACCCCATTATTTACATGTTAAGATAGCCTCGCTTAGCGCTGTTTCGCATTACGCTCTACTTCGATGGAACGTATCCCCCGCGTTAAGCGGGGTCTTACTGTAATAGCAACCACAACAAAAGGAATATGAAACAATTTATACTCATAAAAATATATTACCATTACATATATGTAAGTTATTATTTTCTTACAACTGCATAACAAACAAATTAGTATAACACAGAAATTACAACAATTTACAAATAAAAAATACACTATAATAATTTGTAAAGACATCATAAAGTAACTGATGCTAATTATACACACAGATCTCAATTCAAATGGAAAGGTTCAATGCAATTTAAAAGCCAAACAACATTGTCTTCTATTTTCTATAGCACAGTTCTTGATGATATTTCATTTTGAATCCTTTAGATTCTTACCATAGCTATTCAAAAGTAGAAATTTCTTCTTCAAAATCTCTTTTTAAACTACATGAGAAAAAAAAAGCCTCTTAATTACACAGCATTATATGCGTCTGGTTTCTTAAGAACAACATTCAATTATTTTTTGCCAAGCACTTTTATATTTTAACTTACCCACAAGCCAGTTTATAGAAATTCCTTACCGATTCATAAGATATAAAGCTGTATATCAATGATGAAAATTTTGAGGAAGTTTATGACCTCATTTAGAGTTAACATATATAACTTACACACAGTCACTTATTTTACTCACAAGCAGTCACTCAACTCTAATGCAAATAAGTACAGAAAAGAATATTTCTAGATAAAAGCAGTTTTATACAACCTAGTTCTTATAAGCTGAAAATATGGAGCCAGCAAATACTGTTCTGCGGTTATAAGTGATGTGCAGCAAAGTTTAATTGCAGCAAAGAATTCCAAAAAGGGAGAAGAAGCAGTGCAGTGGTCTTGCCTTTTTGACTAATAGTGAAAAAGCAAGTGTGAACGTGAATGGACATTGCGTTACAAAATTATTCATTACTGTTGCAAGTAGCAAAATATGAAATAAAACAAAGAAATATGTATCATTTGAATTCTGAAATGTTTATCAACATAAAAGAACACATGCACCAACATGTGTTTGCAGAATCCATTGATCTAGCAATAAATGATCAAATCAGTGGTGATGCATATTTGTATCAAATCAATACAGAAGATGAATCATGGTACTGCCATTCTGACGTGGAAATGAAGCCCATGAGCTAACAACGAAAACATTTTACATAATTATTACTCAAGAAATCATGGACTGCCCCACAGCATTAAAATGGTTTTATTAATCACTTTTATTTGATCATTATGGGCCTAATTGGTTAGGGTCCCCTTGTAATATCGCAAAGTTGTTTCATTTATCGCCAAGCTGTTGTTTTGTTTATCGCCAAGTTGTTTGTTTCATTTATGGTAACCTGAGTAGTTGAATGTAATGTTATGGAAACCCTATTAAGACGTAAGCATCTGCATTATTCCGGGAAATTTTGAGTCATGGGATGTTTTGTAATGGCTTTTGTGGTGTGTGTTTGTGGTAAGGAAGTACACAGCTTGTTTCATTGTTTAGGCGGTAGAATGGCTGAATGTAGTAAGATTAATTTGAAGTTTCAGTATAATTTGGAACGAAAGGGGAAAAGTGCATGATTTGACTGGTGTGTAAATGAAGGTTTACTTAGCAGCCATATTCCGGACAGTCCGGAATACGTAGGATATTTTTTACTCTAATTTTTGTGAATTTATGTGGCGGCGCCAATATACGGATTCTAGTTTAGATAATTTTAGGAAGTTTTTGGATGCTGTTAAGGAATTTTGTGTGCCACAGAGGTAAGTGGATATTTGCTTTGTGTAATGCTTAAATGCATAACAGGTTTTTCTTTTTTAATGTTATTTTATTGTTTGGTCTAAAATATAGTTTATTGAGATTATGTATTTTTTGTTTGCCTCTACTGTAGAATTGGGTGCTCCTTTGCCTTTTTAAGTGAAAATATATCGATGTGTATATGGACAAACCCAAGGGAGTGTACGAAGCCCAGTTTGTGCAATTCTCTGATGTTTTTTTAAGTGAAAATAGATCAATGTGTACATGGATAAAGTCAAGGGAGTGTGCAATGCTATTTTTGTGCAATTCTGGATTTTTTTTAAGTGAAAATAGGTCAATGTGTACATGGATACTGAGTTTGTGCATTTTCTAATCTTGTTACACTGGCTTTGTGTAGGGACGATTTTTGGCGCAAAAATTGCTGCTACACAAGCCAAAATAACAAGTCAAAAACTTGCATAAATTCGGTATCCGTGTACTGCCAAAAATCGCTATGTTTCTCCAAGGGGTACCCTAAAATATACTTCTACCGCCTAATCTTATCAACAGGTAGCTAAATCATCACAGAATGCTTGTTGCTATTGCAAAACACTGAAAAGTTTGAGGAAAAAGATTTAGCATAATCAATTTGAAATGCGGTCTTGTATCATTTTTGTGCACGGCTATACAGAACCACATTAGTAATGTTATTTCATATATAACAAGGGTGGACAAACTTCAAGATGATAGAAGATGCATGGTAGATTTCATGAACATTCCAGAGTCACAAGTCCAAATTTATATCATTTTCCAAAATAATAAAGCAAATTTTGAATACTAAAAAACTTTTGAAGTAAATTTATGAGAATTTCGCAATTTATATGCGAATAATATAGTTGCATAAAAATATGAATAAAAAATATCATATCTCCTGCTTTGTGTTCCAAAAATTTAATTCCAAGAAAATATAAATTTGTAACTCTTGTACTGTGCAACTGGACATTCTTTCTTCAGGTAGAAAAATTAAATATTTTCTTCCAATTTCCTTTATTCCCATCTGTTTATAATTATTATTGTTTGATTTTAGTAAAAGTAAACTGGAATCAGAAGCATATGCACTGGTTTACAACTACTAAACAAATTGAGTGAACTATGAATCATCATTAAAAAAAAAAAGTTCTAGTGCTTTTATTTTTTATTATCATTTTTTAAACTCATAAGCAACCTTTTCGAAAGAATAAATTAAAATAATACAGGTCAACGTGCATTACAGAGTAATTGTTATTCGAGAAAGAAACATTATTTAAAAATAAGTTAAAATTTTTTTAGGTTTTTACATAAAAATTAATTTTTTTACCCACACAGTTAATATGAGGATCAACATACTGAGAACAAATTTAACTTTAAGTAACTGAGTTAATTAAGTAGGCAAGAAATAGATTATAAATTACACTTTCTTTATCTGATGATGATACAATTGAATCGTCAAATCTCGAGAATCTCCAGAGAGATTTTAAATTCCAAACATCGGATTTTAGAACTTTCTTCATCACTCGAATCTTTTGAATCCTAAACTAAGAAATCGTTAAACATTTTATCCCCAAACTTGACCAGTTTTGGAGTGACTAGTTTTACTGATACCCAGTATTGAAGAATCCATTAAAAAAAGAATATGATTACAATTCCAATGGTATCTGAATCAACACTATCACTCAAGATGGCCCACAGTGCTACACAATTTCAGTGTGGCATCCAATGAAATTTGCCAGAATTTTTAAGTAAGCAGCACGCTGCAAGCAATTAAAATTTCTCGAAACCGTGTCTTGAATCATTCCAATAACTCTGGATACAGATAACCTATTGCTAATAAATCTAGCAGTTCATGCTGGTTGATATAAACGCTTCGTTGAGCACATATTTCAACTGTCTACCAATCGAACTTTTAGCCATAACTATAGAATTTTGAGTTATTTTTCAAATACAAGGTAAATCAAAACTAATGGTACAGAAAGAAAACATACCCGTGACTACTACAATGAATTTATTTCACAAATGCAGACACATCATGAATGTAGAACTCTCCATATTTCTATAGACATGTACAGATGTTCAATATGAAGGCCGACATCTACTCGGCACGGCAGACATTTACTCGACAGTTTTGTTCGGGAACACTTGCCAAACAGGTATATGGATCCACTTTATTCTGTTACCTATTGGACACATAAAGGCTGTCAAATGGCTTACCGCCGAATCTTATACTTTTAAGTAAAATAACTCTGTAGAAAATTTTAAGTAAACATTTCCTTAGTTTATTGTAACCTAAAGTTTACACAACCCA